TTTCTGTTCCCTCCTTCTTTAAGCTTGCCTTCTGCTTAAGCGAAATAAGTGTATTGTATCTCAGGAGGTGTACATTTAAGCTGTTCAGCCAAAGCAGCCTTTGCTTTGGTTTGTGAATGTTACTTTATTAAATGATGTAGATATCTCTCTCCCTCTCTGGATTTTTGCCATTGCAATTCTGATATTGTACTTCCGCCAGGTTCGTGTTTCGGAGTTCGAGCTCTGCTATTGGGTGGGCGCAAAATAACAAATACTTTCATATACTCTCAAGGGGTGTTGAACGAGATGGATGGAAGTTTGTTCTTCTTGCCCGTTTCTCACCTATACCTTCTTATGTCATCAACTATGCTTTGGCAGCCACCAAAGTTAGATTCTTCTTGGATTTCCTGCTTCCAACAGCAATTGGCTGCCTTCCCATGATCTTGCAGAATACATCTATTGGCAGTCTTGCCGGTGCTGCTGTATCCTCTGGCTCTGGATCTAAGACATTCAATTTACGGTCATACATTTTTCCTCTTCTTGGGATCTTAGCGAGTATCCTTATATCTTTGAGGGTGAAAAAGTACTCCAAGGATATCTCAGTCGCTGAAACAGTTCCTACGGAGGATAATGACAACAATAGATTGTCTGAACGGAAAAAAGGAAAAGTCTCAAAGAAACGGTAATATCATCTATAGGTTTTGCATTCCTTCTTTCCCTCTATAATTTCCCCTTTTTTTTATGGTGGTTGATATGGCGGGATGTATCGAGCTGGCTGACAAAGCCCATGGTCTCGTTGTTGCTAATGTAAAAGAAAGAAAAGGAATTAGGATGAGAGCATGGAGGTTTATCAAAGAAAGAAGTTGACAATTTTCTTAAATCTACAGGACAAAACATGTTACTATGTTTTATGCTGGCTGATGTTTCAGCCAATACACTAAATGTACCTTCTTACATTATGGTCGAGTTGCTGTTTATTCGTAAGCAAATTCAATTTTTACAACCCAATGAAACACTGACTGACCTTGGAAAGAGAACTGCTAATTAAGCTTAATAGATAAATGGTTTGTGTCTCTTCACCATGTAGAAAGCAGCTTGAATGATGTAGCATATCATTTTCTTTTTGGGTTTAAGGTTTCAACCAACCCACCAGTTTTATTTGCTTTTTTTCTTTTCGTTTTTTCCTGCATCAGTTATCTCCAACAAGCACAAATGATACCTTTTGTTGTTGGAGTTATGAAAAGACAATACTGATAAAAAAGCATAAGGAACTTCTATCTTGGACTTTTTACGATTCTTTTCTGAAACACACAAGAAGAAAAGTAAGTACACTCACTTCCTCTCTCTCTCTCTCTCTCTCTCTCCCCCAGAAAGGATTCAATGCAAAGTTGGAAGCACAGGTACGATCAGACTGTGGTCTTTACAATATATAGTTTGTGTTCTTATGTACAATCAGTTATATCGATGATTGGTGAAACAATAACACCAACGTACTCGGTGGGTTTCGAGGAGGGTGGTGTGTATGCAGACTTTACCCCTACCTTATATGAAGTAGAGACTGTTTTCGATAGACTCTCAGTTCAAGAAAATCGTTTTCAAAACAGGTTTGAAAATACAAGGGTAAAAGGTATTGACATCAAAATAATAAAGCTAACCCAAAAAAAAAGAAGCAACGGTAGTAATAAATTTGAAAAATAAGATAATAATAGAACACTAATAATTTTACAAGTGGGCTCTGGGGAGGGTAGTAAGTATGCAACCTTACTGCTATATTTATGCAAGTAGAGAGGCAATACCGACTATTGGTGAAAGAAAAATGGTAAATCTTTAGTGTTCTTGATTGTTTGATTCCTTCATTCTAGGACCTCTTTTTAGGGGCCCGTTTGCCCATAATTTTTTTTTCACTTTTTCCCTTTTTTTTTTTCGAAATCATTGTTTGGCTTTGAAAATTTCAAATTTTACTTGAAGTTGAATTTCAAATTTTTTCGAAAATTTGAAAAACTCCAAAAAAATGTTTTTCAAAATTTTCTCATTCAAATACCATTTTCTCTTTGAATTTTTTGTCTCACTTTTTTTCGAAATTTCACAATTATTTATGTCCAAACGCCCACTGAGTAATTCTGGCAACATAAGTTATGCTGCAAGTAGTTAGAGAAGCATAAGTTCTAAAGACAATTAATATATCTCTGAAAGAATATGTAATATGTGGTATGCTGTCTCTTTCAAGTTAGCACTTTGGCATGCAATTACTAATTAATTGCAAGAGAAGATAATGTATTATTAATTGATAACCATTTTCTTGTCTTGCGGTTGCAATTGCTAAAGATTCTTTATCTCTAATTCAATGCATAGTTGAAGCAAAACTCACACGAGCACATGAAAATGTCAGTGATTAACCATAACTCAATCCATCTTTTATCTTTCTCTTCTTTTTTCTCTCTTGATCCATTATTCCATTAATTATCTCTAATTATATTATTAAGATTAGATATGCAGTCGACACATGACTCCCTTCCCGGTTGTTCAGCTGCAGTGCTCGCACCTATTAATTAGGCACATATCCCTGACTAAAACACCTCTTTTATATGTTAATCATTAAAGAGTGACTGGTTACAATCAGAGGTGGAGTCAGAATTTCAACCTTATGGGTTCTGGATTTTGAGACAATGATTTCAAGTGTTAATGACTGGGTTCTAGCAAAAGCTACTAGGTTCAGCCGAACTCATAGGTCGGCTTGTGCCTTCGCCCTTAGTTACAAGTTCGGGTAACGGAGGAACGATACGATAGATTAACGACCAGTATAAATGTAGAAACTTATGATGAATCCTCTGAATATTGAACTTGTTAGAACATGGGCACCTCAGCTAATGCCCGTGGCGGAGCTATGATTTTCACTAAAAATGAATCCAAATATAAAAAGGTAGATGCTAAAAGTTAAGGAGGTGTTAGAACCCCTTGATAAAGGGTGGCTCCGCCACCGGCTGGGCTAAATATTTAAATAAATCATAGTAATAGACGGGCGGATTTAGGGTGGCGTAAGGGGCGCTGGAAAATTATATTTTCGATTTTTGCTTCTACATATTATATTTTGAATCCCCTTGACATAGCCCTAAAGCATAGCATAATGGTCAAGGAGGTTAAAAACTTTTGTGAGATCGCTAGTGCAATTTCCACCGGCTACAATCTCATATTTTAACATTCATAAGAGCATACAAAAAATAATCTGCACAGCACTGGTCTCAATATCATCTCATCTAATATGAAACTAGGATAAAATCTCTATGGTACTATAATATCAATATTCGAATTCATGTGATATCTGTTGTTTTTTGTGTCAATGAGTAGGCCAATGAGGTTGGATCCAGATGCTGCATTAAATGGCAACTATATACATGGATATTCCCAAGTTATGAACTGGGAAATTAAAGCCAGATGGATATATGATATTCTGCACTTAATGTGACAATTAACTGTGTCCAGTTGTTTTAATTGATCTGACGATCTTGCAAAGTACGTATTATATAATAATTGCATGATTATATATATATATATATATATATTCATGTGGCCTGGGTTGACACAACTGTTGCCAGGACTTGGCACAGTGGCACATGTCATGTGCTATAATTTGTTGCCATTACCCACCTCTTATTGCACGTCTGCCCTTGTGCTTTCGCTTTTTGGAAGATGGAAGCAAGAATTTGCTTTGGCAAAATAAGCTTGTCAGATAAGGATTTCGGATTTAAATTTGATGAATTAAATTTTTATACTCTGATCACTGAACAGGATGGTAAACGGGCGAGTCGGGTCGGATATGAGACGAGTCAACAACGGATAATTATTTAACCCGATCCATATTTAATACGGATAAAAACGGGTTAATCGGATAATATGGAGAACCATATTATTCAGGGAGAAATTCAAAAATAGCCCGGTTTCAAAAGTAATCGAAATTTAGCCACTTTTCATGTAAAGATAAATTTGAGCGAAAACACTGTTCAAAACCCGAAAAATACGCCAGTATATTATGCTGGAGTTCATACACAAGTGCTCGAATCTCCAGTATATTATGCTGGAACTTTCCGTGTGTTGGAGTTCCAGCATAATATGCTGGAAATTCATACGCTGGTGCACCGAACTCCAGTATATTACGCTGGACCGGTCTCTGTTGCAACAAAATAGTGGCTATTTTTCATTGACTTGGTAAACGCTGGCTATTTTTGAATGACCAGTCCGAAAACTGGCTAGACCGTGCTATTTTTACTATTATTCATTGCTTCTTGAATATGATCACCTTTGGGAGAATTTCTAGCCTCCGAAACTTGAGTAACCCCCAATTTGGTGTTTTACAAATGTAAAAGTTAAAGTCATTAGTTATCTATAATATGATTCTTATCCATATTGAACCCATTTTTTAAAAAGTTCATTATCCAACCAATTTTCTAGTGGATAATATGAGTGGCTAACTGTTTTATTTTGACTACTTTGCCACCACTATCACTGGGAGAAATTCAAAAATAGCCAGATTTACCACTGGTCGTTGAAAAATAGCCAAGTTTCAAAAGTCATCGAAATTTAGCCACTTTAAATCTGAGCGAAAACACTGTTCAACATCCGGAAAAATACGCCCGCAAATTTTACGGGAGTTCCAGCATAAGTATGCTTGAACTCCCGTAAATTTTACGGGGGTTCTAGGATAACTATGCTGGAACTCCCGCAAATTTTACGGGAGTTCAAGCATAATTATGCTGGAACTCCCGCAAATTTTACAGGAGTTAGTAAAGTATACCGGTCCAGCATAATATGCTGGAGTTCGTACACAAATGCACCAGAACTCCCGTATATTATACTGGACCGGTCCCTGTTGCAGCAAAATAGTGACTATTTTTCATTGACTTGATAAACGCTGGCTATTTTTCATTGACCAATGTGAAAACTGGCTATACCATGATATTTTAACCTATCACTCAACCTCAGGGGCTGAGGTATCTAGGGCCAAGGGATTCGAAGCCCCTCCATCGGAAAAATTAGACCATAATTAGGGCAAAACTAATTTTTTGGGGTATATATAAACTGTTGAACTCTCTTAACATAAGAGGAGAATTGAGTGTAGTGCTAAAAGGGGTTCAAAAATTGCTCTAGATCTTAGGTTCAAATCTTATGTGGGACATTCTAATATTTTTTTGAATCTCCTTACATAAATTTCTGACTCGGCTATATTTTCATGTAAGCATGAAAATAAGCATTTTTAATCTATTTGCTTCGGCCTCATAATCGCCGTGGTTCACTGTGACACCAGGCATTATTAGCAATATTATTGACAAAGAAAAGAAAGAACAATAACTCAAGTAACCTAATTAAGGGAAGCAACCAGATAAAGGCGCGACTAGAAAATGATTGAACTTATTGTTATTTTATAATGTTTGAGGAATGGACTCAAGTACATAACAAACAAGAGAAGAGAGCATCTAATCTAATGCCTCGGTTAATTTAACCTAATCAGAGGCAAATACAGATCTTATGTTAGAGGGTGCCGAGTACAACAATTGCAGCTAATTAAGGGTTCAAATTTTAGCAGAGGCAAAATGTACTGAGTAATTTCTTCTGTTCTACCTAATCCTTGATGAATGAAGTTACTCGACACTTGTATTGGTGGGAGGCGGCAGAATACTTGATGAAATTAGTCGAGATTCACATAAGTTGACCTGAACATTATTGTTATTAAAAAACCACTGCAGTTATATTTTTATGTGACAATGTGTATACGGTCAAAATCAAGGAGCCCGATTTCGAAGTCTTAAATTGGGCTATGAGTCCGAGTCCGGGCGACTCGAAGTGGAGGTCGGACCCGACTAAAGGACACTCGCCTCGAGGAAGCAGATCGAAGACCTGGCACGACCTACGTCGAGGGTAGCACAATCTCGAAGGCACTCAAGAAAGAGTGAGAATTTCTCAAGGACACGTGGACCAGGGCATAAATTATAGAATAAGATTTGTACGAAATAGTACGAGTCCGTATTAGGTCGTTATATAACTGTACCAATAGAATTTTTTATCATAATTGGAAATGTACCATATT